TCGTAATATGGCTGAATATTGCTAAACGTGGTATTAACCAGATTACTCACACATTTTCACAATTTTCCCTATGCACGTCCTACAATCATATACGATTAGTTTATAGAAAGACTTACATCTATATTCATCTAAATGTCCATACGTATATGTCCACCTGTACATTTATAATTATAGGTTTTATATACTTATATACACATCCGGCACTCTTCCGTAAAGATACAATGTATTAATAATAGCGTTTACTACATTTAAATGATTGTCATCTTTTACACAATTTTCTGAGAATTAATTATGATTCATTGTACATCAAAATGTGCTGACATGTATAAATGTCCTTTCACATATGGGATGTGTCAACATTGTGTAGCTGCAAAAAGTTCAATGAAATTATCAAGTTTTTTTATTTAGAAATGATCAAATCATCAAATTAAGGATAAATAATTATAACTGTTGTGCATATCCAAATATGTTTGTGATTAACCCAACCTTGTTTAAATATATATTGAAAGATGAGCGGTAACGTTTGAAAAAAATCGACTTTGGGCAGGGATTTCTTATGATTATGGAAGAGTTTCGTCACTTTTGTAACTGCTAAACATGAGATATAATGTCAGTGTATGGTCATGTAACAGAACATATGTGTCAATTTCTCATTGCCTTATAATGACGTATCCGTGTCCAACCAATCATGTAGCATATACAAATATCGTTGACTTCGACGTACAAAAGAGTCATAATATATGTTTATCCTTTGGAGTGCACTATTTCTGGTAGATAAGTATGTTATATGCTTACTTTAAAGCTTAGGGACAACACATTGTATTAATCAAGTCTCTGTAACAATTGCAAAACAATACCAATTTAATACCACAACTAAACATATTTTTTGTTTGTTGTAATATCCTGAAGAATAAAGAATTGCATTAACAATGCCAATGTTAGAAATACAACATTATGGAATTCTGTGTCTACAGTCTGGGTGCTTTGTGCAGGACCACTCTCATACATTTTATGAAGCATATGAGGCCAGGGGTCGACACTCGCATAAATGTGTTGACTCATTATTGCATAAATTTTATGATTTAAAGTATTCATGAAGAACATTTCATGTGACACCAACCGCATGGTGGAATAGAGTGAATTATGAGCATAGACGTGAAAAGTAGTTTTATGATATTCATGCAAACTCAAAAAAAAATTGATTTATGTTTCTAGAATCTACATTATAAGCAGTATTTAACTGAATATATATAATTGATGTCTATCAATAACAAATAATTCGTGAGACAATTATTCTTGCGTAAAATGTGCCAGGTGTAGATTGACGCTGAGCATTGTCAAAACATTGTTAATTATGTTGTCCTTATGCCAAACAAGTAGCATTGGGCTATTTGAGCTCAATTTCTTTTCTATGGAAATGAATGCTTTGTATGAAAATTGTATTTTTTCTAATGATGGATGGTTCAGTTAATACTGCCGTGCAAACAGTTATAATAGTATGGACATCACTGAACAATAGAGGGATATTAGTGGGAAGCTTAAGCATTAAGCTTATTACATGCACAGTGACTGTACCTGTCTTGTAAAAATAAATCAATCATTATAACATGTATGACCATATATCAGAGGAAGACACACACGACGAATGAAATAAATTCATTTTACAAAAGATAAACGAACTAAAACTGACAATATCACACGAAAAATACCCGTCACATTGTAATTTTTCTCGAAGACTACACCAAATTCACACTTATCTAACCTAAATCAGTTGTTTGTCAGACGATAACATATTCCAGATTTGGACAGAAAACGACAAATAATCGTCATCGTGGTGGTACCAGAGGTTGGATTCAGGGGATTACACAACCCCCAACCCCAACCGCAACCCTTTTGAAATACACAACCAGTGAAAACTGGCCTCCCCACTTCGTTTGAGAAAAGCTGGACCTGTCTTTAATTATTGATTATCGATAATAAACATATATTTAACAAAACTGACACACAAATACTCTTTTTCACATTGACATTTATCGTAATATCATTCCCGATTCGTCATGACAGTCAGATTAATGTTTGCGTACTGTTAAGATTGTGAGTATGTATCTTGAACTCTTGAACGTTATTATTCTGCCTCCGTTCTGGCGAACCGTTCTAACAAATATAGCTGTATGTACGTCGTTTTCGCATCCGCCTGTAGGTTTACTCGACTTAACCCATTCTACGTATATATGTGAAAATAAGATTTTAGAATAAAAGCATGTTTTATCGTGTATAAGTGTTATTTCATTACTGCTGAAGTAAACTGCATTTGAATATATAATGCTTCAAATTGTGTTTCTGAAGTATTCGTTATGACGATCCATTACATGTTTGCTCCATTGCTCCATTGAAGTTTCATACGACGGATAAATTCAGATTTAATGAGAGGAATACTTTAGAACGATACTAGGAACGCACGCCCTGGGCTTATGGCCTTTTACATTTTATCAAAATGAAGGTCCAGGGCTTAAAAACGAAAAAGGACTGAATATGATAGGAAGAATGAATGACCCCCCCCCCCCCCCCCCCCCCCCCCCCCCCCAGTGTACAGAAACAATACTCACAAATGGAATGAGAGAGCAACACTTTAACATAAGACATGAGTCTCTTAATCAAATAGAAAATTATTAGTCAAGAACACGTATAAAATTCAATTCATACCAATCAAACAAGTAACAACAAACCAATATCTCAGTTATGAGTGTTTGCTATATGCGTATTAAGTGTCACACTGATTATCTAGAATATCACCTTCATGATGGGTCTAATGTGTCTACTCCTTCAATTTTTTGGGGTGCAGTGAACCCTTCTTGACATGTAGCCACATGAAACATGTCTGCTAGGATTATTCTGGCGATTAGTAATTGGTAAGCGGACATATTTGTGTATGACACATTAGGGGATGGCGGTAGTGAACTGCAATAGCCTTCCTTTATTGCCAAATGGTCAAAATAGTTACCCGTGAACCCCATGCTTGTTCATGATGTCGTGTAATGTATTCAACAACAAAGGTTCTTGTGACACTAATATTTAGTGTGTTTTTTCAAACAAGTAAATTTTGGTTTTCAATATTGTAGTACATGTATGGAATCAAGTCACAAAAACGCAACTGCTACAGAAAAGCATGCATTCCATGCAAAGGTTGACTTTTATGCAAGCCCCATGCATTTCACTATCCAAGAATGGGTACAAAAACATGTGTGTTAACGGGATTCCATATGCATTGTTTAGCATCGTGCTGACAACAACCACTCAGAAAAACAACAAAATTACGCAATTATTCAACATTACGAAATGTCACGCCTGTCCGAAAATGAGCGTCTGCGAGCCATTGGTATGCTTGAAGCAGGATCGAGTCAACGTGATGCTGCAAGACAATTTAACGTCCACAGAAACACCATTTGGTGTTTATGGCAATGTTGTCAACAGACGAATGCAGTCAGTGACCATCCTCGGAGTGGCAGGCCAAGACAACTGGATTCGAACAACGTAAACCAACGAAATCGATTCCAGCCAGCAACAGTGACTGCAAGAAGCATCCCTGACCTTCGACGAATATCTTCACAAACCGTACTTCGCCGCCTCAGATGTGCACAGATTGTCGCCAGAAGACCCGCCAGACGTCCCATTTTGACAGGAAACCACCGTCAAGCACGTCTACAGTGGTGCAGACAGCGCCTACGCAGTGGGGACAAGTTCTCTTCACTGACAAGTCTCGTTTTCACCTTAGCCACAGCGATGGACGGATTCCAGTGTACCGACGTCGAGGTGAACGTTACGTCAATCATTGTGTCATGGAAGAAGATCGGTTCGGGGGCGGCAGCGTTATGGTATGGGGTATGAGTACAGCAAGACAGAGGACCCGTTTGAAACTGGTAGAGGGAAATCTCAATGGACAGCACTACCGCGACGAGATCATCGGCCCTGTTATTCCACCGTTTTTGCGACGTCATGGCCCAAGCATTACCTTTTGACATGATAACGCCCGACCTCATATTGCTCGACTTGTTCAGGATTCTCTTCAACAAAACAATGTGAATGTCATCCCCTGGCCGGCTCGCTCCCCTGCTCTCTCACCAATCGAGCACATGTTGCATGAGAAGGATCGGCGCCTTCGACGTCAACCACGTGTTCCACAGACACTCTAGGAACTTCGAAACATGCTCAAGCAGCTTTGGACAGATATCCCACAGGACTTTGTGCGACGCCTGGTCCATTCCATGAGACGAAGATGTGTTGCTTGCATCGCAACCAGAGGTGGACGCACACGCTATTGTTTTGTAAATTGACATTTGGGCATGTTAATGGGTTTTTTTATGAAATCACGCATTTTCTGAAGTTAGTATGGCAAATTAAACCATTTGAACACTTACAGGATTCTTTTATCTGTTGAAAGCCGAAATTATTTCAGATTTGGTAAAAAACATAATTTTGCATTAAATCTTATTCAATGTCACAGGAACTTTTGCTGTTCAGTATAGCGGCACCATTGCTGACACTCTCCATAATTGCTTGCACTAAACAGCTTCAAGTATTCTTAATGTGACTTAGACTTGACACTTCATTGACAGTTCAAGATCCAAGACGTAGTGTTAAATTACACAGTTTTCAACATACGCATTTTCTCCTTTGTCAAGGCGGCATCTAATACAAACCTGGTTTGGCCGAATATTCACTAATTTTCACTTTACGTTGTCCGATGTTGTTGCAGTGAGATTGTTTTTTTCTGATTTTACTCATATTAACTGTGTGTGTTATTCCTGTAACACGTGACATTTCTTCATAAATACAAACATAACGTTTCACCACTATTTCTAGTTTACTAAGAACTGATTCATCTTTGTGTCATGCAACACGACTTTGAAATTGATAAATATATCCATGAGCTACAACGTAGCCATGAGAACACACCAATTCAGATAAACATGCACATGATCTGTCTTTGTGTTTATACTTACTCCACACTTCTACCTCAGCAAAGTCAAGCACAGCCCCCGCTCCATCATTACTTGTGTCAGTGTAGACAGTCAGGTAGCGCCACGTTCCAGGACAGTTCACATCCAGTACGTCAGGGATGTATATACCGTCACGACGTCCAGTAACTGTGTGACATAGACTTCCTTCTTTGGGCTCAGATGAATTTGTCACAGATGTGTAGAGTTGAATTCCATTGCGTCTTGTCGTGTCTGAAAGGAAAATTTGCTAAAATGACATCTATCTATATATTGATTCTCGACATTATAGATAAGGCAGTTCGGCGTGGGCTTACGACAACGTGATATACAAGTGTATATATGCATAATGAATATAATAAGTCGATTGCACCACACCAGCTGTTTTGTATCTACTGTGATGTTTTCTAAACCTGGCTTCCAAAATGAAACAGTCAGTACAGTAATGAGCCTTTTTAAATGTGTATACTAACGGGGTAAAGTAACAGTGCTTCATATAAAGCTCATTAGAAATAAATATTTTATGAAATTTAATAAGGGGTCATGATAAATGTTCATTAAGACATCTCCACGTCTTTGAGGTCGTGATTCCACATCACCGCTGGCACGCCTAGCTTGGTGTAGATAGCATCTTAGGTTCAGAACACAAGGCTGGGTTGGTATACTGTTCACAGATAAGTTCAAGTTTCATCTGGAGAGCTCTGATCGTCCCGCAGGGGTCTGCAGTCGTCCAGGAGAACATTTTAGTGACGCCTGCGTTACTCAACGTTGTCAGTTTGGGAGGTAGAAGTGTAATGGTAAATTCAGTGCCATATCAATCAAGCCTTTTCCTAGTAAACTTCCGTTCACGAAAGAACATCGTTGTTGGTCTTTGGCGCCGAAATTCATGTTACACATTTACATTCCGCACTTATCCAGAATATGGCTGCTCAACTGTGGTATATGTTTTCCCTGATCCCTGGCTCCTGGTATCATTCTCAACTCCCTGGGGAGTATGCAACCCATACTGCCTTCAGGTGCAGACGGTTTTTACACCCTCCCCACATATTTGGGACACATTTAAACTGAGTCACTTGCCCATGGTGATACAACACGTTTTTGCACATGTTATTGTATGTATCTGGTCCTCTATCAATGGATGATTGGGTTCCTTTGAGTGCAAGGGGTGACTGTACTGTACACTAGGGGTGACAACACCGTAAAGACATGTAAGCCTAGGCTGAATGATTTAACAACATGGCCACTAGCAGGATACAACCTCATGATCAGCACCTGGCGCTTACTAGATTTTAGATCGCTCGCCCACAGCGCCCAATGGAATCTGTTTCGACGGATACTCTAGAATAAGTTTTTATCTGGGCATTCTGGTATGTAAATGCAAATTATCAAGGGGATTATCATGAATTAACAAGGATTTAGTTTAAGATGACAACAGCGATTGGCATGTTATCTAAAATTCTTCAAAAGCTACAAACATAGATTTACAGTTTACTGGGGGGGGAGGGCGATATAATATATATTTTGACAAAGTCGACAATTACAGTCGTTAACAGAACTGCGGCACTATTGAAATTGGCTTTGGAGATTATCAGATGATAACATGTCCGATTTTGTTACTATTTACTTTATGTATCCTCTCGAGTGGCGGGTTCCGTTTTACATTTTACAATTCAACGTTGCCACTGCTTCTCGTCTCTCTTGATTCAGATATTAAGTTTTAGGTTGTAATAACGTGTTAAACATTAGTATCTGGACCCGGTTGTATCAAACGTTAACGATACATTAACTTGTCATTAAACCTCCATTAATTAATGTGTCATTACATGCTGCTGTATCAAACTTTTACAGTCATCCGTATATTAACGGGTCATTAACCATACTGTCATTGAACCAAACTTGATGAGTTGATAAAATGCATCCCTGGGTCCAGTCAGAGAACTTTATGTTTTGCACTGAAATGCTACAAAATACATAAAATACATCACAACACGAACGTCAGAAGTGATGCATTCGGCAATTATGACTTTCGAGTCGAGAGAACTGCTACAACTTGTATCACTTGGTACAGGACAGGAAGAAGAAGGTGCTTGTTTGCAAGAACGGAATTGTGGGAAAATATATGGCAATACCTTACTTTAATTACACCTTAATGGAAATTTTAGTCTTACAGTGACATACGATAATGACTATTGATAATTCATAAATAATGAAACATTTAGAATTAATGGAACTAGTAGGGATTAATGGAAAACATTAGTTAATGAATATTTCATACAACCTGGTCCCGGGTTTAACCTAAGAAAGCCCACTGAAGCTGAAGCCCAGCCAAACTTACACAACTGCTTATGTTTATGTCAAATTTTCTTCATGTCAACAGCTGCGTGGTCAAATAGAGCGACTTGACAATATTTTGCACAACATGGAGTAACTGGCTGCAGATGCTGTACAAATATATCCCTGCCTTTAAATAATGCTGTGGCAGTGCCATTGTGATTTACGCTTGTGCAGATCATTCGGATAAAACAACATCAAAACTTCTTATTTTCATGGTGCCCTTGTTCTTTCACAAACTGAGACGCTTTCAGGATACACATAGCGTTAAATATAATTATCAGGCCATATTATCTTTTCACGTAAAAGAAGTACTTAATGAAAACAAAGTTAGAATATGAATCAATAAAAAGTCAATTAAGTACTGGTTATTATCATTTCAGTACTATTATATTGACATACGCTCACCACTCGGGTTTAAGGTGAACTTATGTTAATCTACTAGTACTGTGGATTGTTTCAGTTAGTATATTATAGCGATGCTTCCATTTTCGTGTATTGTACACGCGAGTTTCATGTATATATTATAACAACATCAACGTATACTATGACGGTCACAGTCGGTTGGTTGGTTGGTTGTTTAACGCCACACTCAGCAATAGTCCAGCTATATGACGGCGGTCTGTAAATAATCAAGTCTGGACCAGACAATTCAGTGATGTCATGAACATCGATCCACGCAATTGGGATCAATGACATACATCAACCAAGTCTGCGAGCCTGATCACCCGATCCCGATAGTCGCCTTTTACGACGGTCACAGTAAGAATCCTGGTAAGGTGCAGTGAAAGCAGCATATAAATCATGCTTTAACATGAGTATAATACACTTACAGTCTGTCCTGAAGTAGATTTTAACCTGTGCTGACTGTACTTGTGTCTGTAGATCCACCTTCCACCAGGCTGTAGATTCACCACCCTTGGTGTGGATTGAGAACGTCTCGCTGCTTGCAGTAGTCACTCCATCTACAGCATTACCAGCAGGCTGTGAAGGTTGGCGTGTTGTACTCATCCATACTGGTTTGTTCTCGGCGACATTTTGTCTCTCACCTGTAGTATAACCGATATGTTTTAAAACATAAGCATACTTTGACCACCTCAATGTGAGGTGAGGTGAAATGAGGTTTAACGTCGCGTGCAAGATATTTGCACTTATATAGCGACACTAATGCACGTGTCTGTGTTTGTATGTGTGTGTGTGTTTGTGTGTGTGTTTGTGTGTGTGTGTGTGTGTCCGTGTGTGTGTGTGTGTCCGTGTGTGTGTGTGTGTGTGTCCGTGTGTGTGTGGCTGCTTGTAATAGTCTGGACTGATGGCGATTTATAGTGCAAGCCCACTGAGACACTAGCCGCAGTTTATCATGAATACCCCATTCAGTATATACAGTATACCGACTCCGAGCCGACCAGTCCTTGTTTTATCCCGTTAATGCCAAGCGCAAGACAGGGTAACAATAAGTACCATCTTTAAACGTCTTGAAGTATGACGCGGCCGGGGATCGAACCCCAGGCCGTCCGCTCTCCGGGCGGACGCTCTACCGCTAGACCACGGAGGCGATCCCACCTCAATGTAAAGACTCAAGGTACATCTGGTGACTTGTAGGGAAACCACTGGTGCAGTTGCCTATGCATGTATGGTAAAACAACTCTCTGTGTAGAGTTTGGTCCTTGACTTGTGCCTGGATCCTGATCGTGCCTGATCGTGGATTCGAATCTCAGATTATGGCTTTCCTCCAACATATAGCTGACGTGACTTGAAACACTGGCGTCAAACCAAAGAAGGCACGGTAAACAAAGAAGGTGTTATTCAGATATCAAAAAAGCAATTAAAAAGTGTATATTTATTAGCTTTCTTCCAATGAAAGTTCAGATGGAGGTTACAGATTCATGCACACAGATTTATTCGTTCTTAAGCACTAGGAAATATCTAGTATGGTACTCTGATGGTACTTTTGGAAATAGATTGTTTTCTATGTTTCAATTAACAAAATACGTTTCACACTCATATCTTCGCCTTAGTGGTATCAGTAGCTGTCCATTTGTCGATTGTTTGTTGAAAAATACATACACCTGGCTTGTTTTGTTTCTGAACAAATGTGTATTTGAAAACTGTTGGAAGAACGTCTTTGAACAGATTGCTGTTTGTGATCATCAAGAACAATGAACCTCGGTAATAATGCAATGTTTCCATACAAGTAGGATTCCACATACTCTTTTGATCTCTAAAATAAACTGACGTCCAAAAGAAACTTTACCAACTGAAAATATAAATTTCAGACAAAGTATAAATTTTGTTTCGATGAAGTCTATCTAAAACACATAACCTAAATACAACAAGAGTGTATACAGAAAATGTTAATAGTCTGTTACATATTTGCGATTTGCAAGTCAGACATCCACAGTGATAAAAAAACATAAAAGAAATGCCACGACTCACAGTATGGTACAGATGGGAGCCACCCACGCCCATATTGCACGAACCTTCGATTGCTCCCGTGTTGCCGTTACCAACTTGATGCAACGTTACAGACAGACAGGCCGGACCGCTGACAGGCCAAGTACAGGCAGACCCAAGGTGACCACGCCCCATGATGACCGGTACTTGCGTACCTTGCACCTCCGAAATCGCTTCCTGACAGTGACGTCATCGGCGACAAATGCCTTAGGTCACAGGGTTAGTCGACAGACAGAAGCCAGGAGACTCAGAGCTTTTAGACCATATAGAGGACAGCTATTGAACGCGCAACATCGTCGTCTGCGATTGAGACTTTGGCAACGACGCGACTGGCAGAGGGTTGTCTTCACTGACGAAAGTCGATTCTGTATGTTTAGGGCTGATGAAAGACAACGTGTTTACCGCCGAAGGGATGAACGAACGGCGGCGTATTGCGTGCGGGAGGTCGTACCATATGGTGGAGGGAGTGTCATGATGTGGGGAGGGATCTGTGGGCAGGAGAGGACACCGCTGGTCATCGTTGACGGAAACTTGACAGCTCAGCGTTACATGATCAGCATTCTTCGTCCAGTTGTCCTACCATTTCTCCAACAGCAGCCACGTGGTGTCATTTATCAGCATGACAACGCTAGAGCCCATACAGCCAGAATTGTCACTAACTTCCTCGCAGCCAACAACGTCATCGCCCTGCCGTGGCCTGCACGCTCACCCGACATGTCCACCATAGAACACCTCTGGGACTTGATGGATCGTAGTGTTCGATAACGACCACACTCTCCAGCCAACCGGCAACATCTGACCTTGGCCCTCCAAGAATAATGGCGTCAAATCCTACGTGACCTCATCAGACGACTGACTTTTTCTGTGCGTGTATTGAGGCATTTGGTGGTCACACACGCTACTAATGACTTGTTTATGAACGTGAGCGATTGTTTATGTACTCTGCCTATTGTCCATGATTCTGAAAGCTCGAGTTTTGTACCACACCCAACTTTGGGGGGCTCTGACGTCATTCTCGGTCGCGGTATGATTGTTTTTTTCAGTGTTGATTATGTTGATATATTGATCTTCTCAATACACTTTACTTCATGCATGTATGTTTTGTTGTTTTTAAGCAAGAGTGATTTCAAACTCTGGTATAGTTTCTTTCTGGACGTCAGTTTATATTATTTACATATACAAACCATATATTTGGGTGAGTTGGAGTTGCTTAAAACATTTATTTAGCCTCATGACTGTAAGTGCCTTTGACACTGAATGTAACGCGAAGGTTACATTTGACTTCATCTCTATACAAACTTAGGATACTCGACTATATTTTTGTGAAATATAGTGTATCCAAATCGTTGGTTTGATTTCGTAAGTTAAATAAGTCGCACGGCTGATGTGGGCAAACATGTTTCAATATGCCCTCCTTCGTAAAAGAAATACAATCTGATTCCCATGTTCATAAAGTACTGTATTCAAACTATATTGTTTGCATATTTATTTGGTAATAACTCATACCGTGAAGGATTCTCGTTCATCTCTCTGTGTTTAAACTATCCACTACAAATGATACAAGGATACGGGTGGGTCGGCCGATATAATGTGCCCAACAGTATACAATAATGAAAAAAGGAAAAATTCGTTAAGATGACCTTGGATCTTTGAATGTTCATGACGGAAACAACCCCGACTGAGGGTGAATTGATTGTAGTAAACATTTAAAAAGTCGCCAATGTACTGTGTCAGTTTTATGAAAGATGAGCCCACTTCTGTCATGTATTCTACTAGCTATTTGTGAATAATATACAGAAAGTAAATTTTATATAATGGAAATGCACGTGCATTTTTCATTGTGAACGAATCATTCAAAAGATTAGATGAAACTTGTCAATGATGACTTTTCTTTTGAAGAAGCTGATTATCCGATTTTTAATTTAAGTAAGATTGATCTATTGTACATTTCTGTGGAAGTGATTCGCAACTTTTTGAGGCATCACGAAGTGTTGGTGAACGTTTAAATAATGATATTTAAAAAGCTCTCCTGAAGTAAATTGTCCGTATGTCTTTCTTTCCGTCTGTCTTTGTGTCTATCGGGGCATCGGTGACCCAGTCGTCTAAGGCGTCGTAATTCGCTGAGCAAAGATGCGTCCCTCGGGCACGCCAGAAACCTGTGATCGTGGGTTCGAATCCTGGTTCGCCCCAATTGTGTTTTATAGGTTTTTAGCAGCCTACCTGTGCTCGTGGTATTATCCATGTAGTGAACGTCTGAGACCTGCATCACTTCGGGCCTCCCACATAAAGCTTACACGCCATGGTATTACTTGAATACTGTTCACTGCGTTGTAAAACCCAACTCACTAATACATATATCTATCGATATGCCTGGCGTTCTGTCATCAGTTTTTATGCCTTGATATTGACATGTATGGAGATGATTATGTCAGTTTGCAACATTGACTAATTATAGGCAAAACAATGGTAAATACTTTACACTTTACATGCGATGTAGAGATTATTATACGCGCATGACTTGTTTTGTGTGTCATACTGATTTTACGAAATGGGTGACAGCATTTTTGTACTTCCCGAGCGAGAACGACATCATTCCGACCTTACGTCATAAAAAGATACGAATTGGAGTGAAGACGATGAAGTCAATTATCACTGACAACACCAGCCCGCAGGGAGAACTTGACACTGAAGCCGTGCAGAGAGCGATACTACAATATTGTAACACACCTGACCCTGACACAATGATCTTCCCTGCAATGTCTTCGGCCGCCCGATACGCGATTTCATCCCGATTATCCCCGGAAAGTACAGACCACACGAGATTTGGCGTGAGACCTCCGGGAAGCCCTCCGCAAACGCCACATCGGCAAAGCTGACATCTGGGCGGAGCACACAAAAGGCCTTCCGGCACTCGGGGTAGGGGACAAGACGGGCAGTATTGTGGAGGTACGGTAGCACGACCAGTACCCCATCAGGATTAACAGCAATTAAAATTCCTGTACAAGTTCAGCCCAGTTCATAAGGACCAGCCGCCACCCCGATCGATCTATGACGACATAGCAACCCGCATCACTGTACCAGCACCTATCATGACACCGTGGCTACCTGCCCTCGACAGCAACCCCACGACGCAGACAGGGCCCACACTGTCGCCGGTACTGACGTCAGTAAGCACACCACGTCGCAAGACACCACCCGATTCGGTCACGCAAGCAGACCAGGACGAGGCACACCGAGGCGCGCGATCCTTCAGTCGCCACCACCTGAGACCCTGAGACCCTGAGAGCCCCACCCCCACCGGAGCCCGACGTGATACCACCAGCACCGGGTCTACGCCGATCCACCAGAGCGACCAGCGTGCCTTCTTGGCACAAGGACTACACCATAGGATATTCGTCATAGGATGGGTTATCTAGACGTTCCATTCACATCCATTAAACTTTACTTAGCCTTTATCCATTAGCATGAAAAAGACTCGGAGGGATCGGAGATAGAGAACATTGTACTAAACGGCGCTCCTGTATAAAAGACGGTCCCTTGTACCAGTGCACAGGCGCAATCGGAACCGGAACCAGATATAATTATAAACGCCCGTGTT